TTCTTCCATGAAGTAGTGGCCTGTGTGGAAGAAAACCAGATGACCCCGACGAATATTGCTGTTTGCTTGGCCCCCTCTCTGTTCCATCTCAATGTCCTCAAGAGAGACAGCACCAGCAGCAGGTCTTTGATATTTTCTTTAATATATATATTTAAAAATATTGGACATTGTCTGACAATCTAGCAAGTCAGATGTATTATAGTAATTAGTAAGTAATTGCCTCTTCCCTAAGTAGCTCTGCATTTCCCAGAAGCACTAAAACCTTATTTTAGGGCAGTTCTACACAATAAATTTATTCATCTCCTGCAAAAGTCCATCTTCTATGATCAAGCAGTACTTATGTAACAGAGTGCAGTTATAGACTTATGCGCAACACCACATCTGGCTTAAATCTATCCTAGATAAGCAAGATGTTATATTTCTGGTACATTTTAGTCTAAAGCATGACTCTGAATGCTGAAAAGAGCAGCATGAATGAAAGAGAGAATGATTTCAGAGAACCAGTTTTGTTTCCCGGAGCGATTCTATATAGATTTTTTTTCCCCACCATCAGTTTTCTGCCTATATACTTAAGGAGTGATATACAGTCATCTCAGGAAAAACTGATTTTTAAAAAAGGTAATGAAAGATGTCTTTCTGGTTAATTAGCTTAATCTCACACTGAAAATATGAGAGAAATATAACCTCTACCTTTAAGAAGTAAATTTATTCTAAGTAAAATTTTTTAATGCTTTTGAAAAATAGAAATTCCTATGAACAAAATGAAACTGAAGCATTTATATGTTGAGTGCTTAGGAACTCTTATGCGATCATCCATGACTTCCTGTTTCACTGAGGTATAAAATCTGAGGTGACACAGAAGCCAAATTTCCAACACTTGTTTTTAGTAAAGATCCAAATTAATTTGAATTTGCAACATTCACCATGTCCACACTTCCTCCATGACATGCTGTGTTTGGAGATGATGGGCCATGATAACAGCAACGAGAGGAAGTCAAGATTGTAACAACGTCACCACCAGAGCTCCGTAGAGTAAACACATCCCAGCGGTTGAGTCTGCAATCTCTTGTCCAGCTCTGTCTTCCTGCTGTTTTTGGGTGGAGTGTTATAAACTGTCACACTACAGAATAATATCTTTTATGTAACTAAACACCAAGTGCTGCTAGAAGGAAATATATATAAACTGACAGGTTCTCCAGAAATGCTCCTTGAAAATGGAGCACAATGTTCCTTGAAAATGAAGCATTAAGAGGAACAATAACCTTTCATCATTTCAACACTCTCTCTGTCAACTCTCCCAGCAGAGGCAGAAGGAAGGAATGATCCTAATTAGGATTTCCACAAGGCGTCACAGCGCGGTCAGGGTATGAGCTGTGGAATATGCTTATGACATTTCCTGTTTTTTTGAACACAGGGCAGGCCAGAGGAAGTACAGCTTGGGAAGACCGGACCAGAGGGATCTGAGTGAGAACCTGGCTGCTACTCAGGGGCTGGCACATATGGTGACAGAGTGCACTCGACTGTTCCAGGTACTGTACCCTTTACCCGGCGAATTAGTTTTAGTTTTAACCTTGCATGCAGGTGCCTTGTCTCCACCAGTGGCAGGAGAGTTGCTTTCAATATCTGACATACACTATATGGCCGAAGGTATGTGGACACCTGAGTATTGAACAGCCCATTCTGAAACCATAGGTATTAATATTGTGTTGTTCCCCCTTTGCACTTATAATAAGCTCCACTCTTCTGGGAAGACTTTCCACTAGATTTTGGAGCGTGGCTGTGGGGATTTGTGTTCATTCAGCTGCAAGAGCATTAGTGAGATCAGGCTCTGATGTCAGGTGAGGAGACTCCAGTTCCAGTTCATCCCAAAGGTGTTCAGTGGGGTTGAGTAAGTTCATGGCTCTGTGCAGGACACTCGAGTTCTTCCACTCCAACCTTCACACACCATGTCTTCATGGAGCTCGCTTTGTGCACAGGGGCATTGTCATGCTGGAACAGGTTTGAGCCTCGTAGTTCCAGTGAAGGGAAATTGTAATGCTACAGCACACAGAGACATTCTATACAATTGAGTGCTTCTGACTTTGTGGCAACAGTTTGGGGAAGAACCACATATCAGGTGTCCACATACTTTCAACCTTATATTGTATATTACATAAATTATAAAGCAAAAATGTGTGTAACAATATTATTTTTGCTATAAATCCATACAACCAATGCGTGTAGCTAAGGGATGGTCGGTTACAAATGTCATATCATGACAATTCTCACTGTGATAGGCTGGTTTGAAAATTTATTTCATCATTGTCCAATAGCGAGGAAATAGTACACTTAGCAAGCTAACACAGAAGCAATCTGTTCCCTGGTTCCACTGATCACAACAAACAATAACAGCGGATTTCTTCAGTTCGTTATTAGCGACCGTTAGCTAATGGCACTGAATTCGTAATTCTAGCATACTTCATAAGATGTAATGTAACATTTTGTTAAATGTGACATTTGTTGTAGCTTGCTAAACGCCAAACAAATGTTGCTTACCTGTGTGAATTTCATGTCCAATGGGGATCCTACTTACTCAGACTGCACACAGATAGGGGGCGCCGCATTACGTTTTTTTTTTTTAAATAGATATAGATTAGTATTTTTCTCCACCCTAGATTACCACCCCAATAAAGTCATTAGATCTAACCTGGCCATTCCATTAATGAATCGCATCCTCAGATGAATCACAGGTGAACCAGGCATACAGAACTATTAAATGGAAGACTCAAGGCTGCATGTAAAGGAAAATCAAGGTCGCTGGAATGCTGCATCCTTTTCTATTTTGCATCAGAGATTTAGCATTTTGCTAAATAGAATAAAGTATTAATACTGAAGGGTTGATAAACCATTAAATTAGGTTTGAAGCTTAAAAACTGCAAGAATTTCTGAAAGTCTATTATCTTACAGTAGTAGCTGATATACTCTTATCTACTCGATCAGTGCTGTACTGTACGTTATGAAGGCATGTAGATAAAACGTTACCCCCAGCACTGCACTTTTCTCTGCTTGGTTAGCAAGGAGACTAGATTAAAAACCAATATTACATTCATTCATCTGTAACATATACATTAATATCATTTAAGGCTGCGTTAATGTACTTCTGCTGTGGTTGGTGTACATTAAACATACCGTGTTAAATTGAGCAGAGCCAACATGATAAAATATAATCCACATAATGTTGAGTGATGGCTTATTAATTAAAGAATGATAGTAACAGTCAAATCTATAATTACTGGCACCCTTGGGGTAAATAAGAAAAAAATGAATAATTCAAGTGATACTTTGATCACTTTTAACACAATATTTCTTTACACAAAACAATTGCTTTTTGTGATGGCACTGTCCTACAACCAGGGAGACACGCAAATCCAGTCAGTGCATCTTTTCAAACCAATGCTCACGCTATGCCAGAGGGCAGCTGAACACTCAGAGGAAAGCACTATCTGCCCTCTTCTGCATACATGACCTCCAGATGCAGGTGATTGTCTAGTGTCACTGGGATTGACAAGGGAAAGAGGAGTAATATCATCCCTCGCACCCTGAGCACATTGCCTGAGTGGCACCATTAGGATTCAAACCCACAACCTCCTGATGATAGAGTGAACATGCTTCTGTTGCACCACTCAGGATTCTTAAGAGACCACTAGCTGCAACAGAGCCCTAAAGCATTAAAGATAAACCATCTTTTACAATGAGTGTGAATTCCACTAAACATTCTGATGGTGGGCCAGAAAGTGTGAGCTGTAGTGTCAGTGACACTCAGTGAAGTTCATGGACTGCCTTTTTGTTGGTTGCTCTTAGGAGTCTTTAAATCAGCTTGTTTTAATGGAGGTAATGTCTTGAAGATTTTAAAAATTGACAGGAGTCTGATTTTTGGGCTCTTCTTCTTTGGACTTCCCAATTCTTTCACTGGCAAATATTCAACTGTTCCAAACTTCTGAACCTTTATTATGGTATTACGGGGTACTGAGCTGCTTAGGGATTTTATAGATCCATTAACTGTCTTGTGCAGGGTGACAGTACTCAACCTCTGTGTTAAAAGCTTTAGATTTTTCGCTTAATGACATAACAAAAATAGTTTTACTTAAATCTTAAATATTATTTAAGGGGATCAATAAATTTTCCAAAATACTGATTAAAAATAAAATCTTATGCCATTGGCTTGAGTGGAAATTTTTTATGCTTCGTGTGTAATGTTTTGTACGCATGTAACGTGGTGCCAATAATTCTGGAGAAGAGCGTCTGCTAAATGCTGTAAATGTAAATGAGATGACTATAATTCGTTAATGGCTCCTATATATGTCATGCATCTATAATAGTATAGATTTGTATTTTACAGATTTTTTAGTATAAATATCACTCACCAACCTGACTAAATCTCACCTTATTTCAGATGCCACATTACTGGCACGAAAGAAATCCCAGCACCTTTAACGAAGACGGCCTGAACATGGACGCAGGCTCTGCTTTAAATACAAGCGAGACTGATGTAGCAGACCGAGCCCGGCTAGACGTCTCCGTCCAGCAGCTCCTGAGGGAGGCGAGGGAGAAAACCAAAAGCTGGGTAACCTGCTCCACCTCCGATCATGTGGATGTGGCATTTAAAAAGGTGAGTGGTCATGTGTCATAAACTTGAAATCAAGTTGTGAGCAAGATGGTACATTCCGAAGAAAAACAGAGAGGGTTAAAAGGTGACAAGGAGACATTTGTTGCAGGTGGACGATGGTTACCCGTTGCCGTTGTGGAGGGGGACAGTGGAAGTGGACGCTCCTCAGAAAGATGTTTTCCAACGTGTCCTAAGAGAACACGACCAGTGGCAGAGCGACCTCCAGCACAGCGAGGTGGAGACCTTGGACAAGGATTCTGAGATCTACCACTACACCCTGCAGGCGGTTGGCACAAGACCACCTCTACAACATCTGCTTTTGAGGTACTGAGCCAGCGAGAGGATTTGACTATTGGGAAGTGGTGGCTCAGGGGTTAAGGCTTTGGCCTACAGCTTAGAAGGCTGTGAGTTCAAATCCCACACTGCCAAGCTGCCATGGTTGAGTCCTTGAAAAACAACCTTCAACTACTCAGATATTCCTTTGTATAAAATGGAACTGTACTAATAATGATGAATGAATAAATAAGATTAACCTCATCAGGAGGATTGAGACAGATAAACAGGGATAGACTGGAGGAATCATGTAAAAAACTGAGTATTACAAAAGATGTTTTTATCCAAGGCAACGTTTATATGATTGCAAAAGTTTCTTTTTTTCTTTCGTCAAATCACATGCGTACATTCTCCTCGTGATGTTTAACGCCAACTTCCGTTAAAGTTAGAATACTAGCTGCATCTAAAATAGCACTGGCTAGCTAAACAAAAAAGCTTGTAAATATGGCAAGCTAAATAGCTGAGGTGGCGAATAACTTTGCGAATAAAGTTGTGCTGGAAAGTGATGGCTCAGTAGTTAAGGCTTTGGGTTACTGATCAGAAGGTCATCCAAGATCATCCAAATGAGTAACTGTAGCAATATGGCTTTATTTCAAGGCTATTAGTGGGAAGAGACAATCAGAAGCAGGTCTCTTAACAGTAGTGTTTTTTTGGTAGCTCTAATAACCCTTTTTAACCCTTGGATCTCTGGGGCTATTTTGTTCATTTCCGCATGCTTTTGATTTTGCCTATGTATATACAAAACCTTTAAAAATGTTTGCCATGTTTGCCAAGTGTCTGGTTTTTTTTTTTTTTTTTTTTATTCAGTGGAGCCTAGTCAACGTGACCGGATATTTCTTTTTTCACTTTTTCACTGTTTCAAAACACAAAAAAAGAAAAATAATTTAAAAATTCCTGTTTGTTTATATGACAAAAAGATATTCCAATGAATGTGAAGACTGTCCTGTGCGCAGTCTGATAATCAAAACAAACATGAGATTTTTCTATCAACTTTACCTACTTTATCTCCATTTCTACATGGTGTGTCAACACCAAACAAAAAACACGCTAAAGTTTCAAGCCAGCACTTTTGACAGGCCATATTGCTTAGAAAGCTGTCATTTTTTGCGGCATTGTTGTAAAAAAATTATAAGACTTTTCCTATTACTGTAAAAAGAACTAACATGATCTAGATGAGATTTTGTATAAATGTCTTCCCCTTGCCAGTTGAGTAACTTTTCAAACTACAGTCTCCAGCAACACTATAACACTCATGTTCAGCTTTTGAACTTCTGGACCCCTCTACCTGCAGGACATGGCAGTCTGATCCTTCATCAGGGCCTCTGTTCGTGGCAGCCACTTCAGTCGAACACGCTGACACACCAAACAGAGGGGTTACAGCCCAAGTGCTGTGCTGCATGTTCCTGGTGGAGCCGATGGGGCCAAAAAAGTCACGACTCACACACTTTTGCCGCACAGATACCAGGTGAGTACTAGTGATCTACAAGGGTGAAAATAATGCAAGATAGAGAAAGATTAAAAAAACTCCCAGTGGACATTCTTCTGTATTTTCTTGGGAGATCAATTTGTTCCCTGCATAACTCATTCGAAGCAAGGGCTCAGGCAGCAAGTACAATCAATGAAACATAAGGACATAATACAAAAAGACGATGTTGAGAAAATTGAGGCGCGCACCAGGGGTGTACTGTCATGGTGAAAAAAACATAGCGCAATCATTTGAAATAATTGCGCTACCTCCTTTGATTGGCATCTACCTACTAGCTGACAGGTTTGGGAACGCAAGGGAAGAGACTATATATTTACCTCTATATTGCACTGTACAGTTTACTGCCAAAGCAAAGTTACAGGTCTAGTGCTGCATGTTAATGTTAATTAAATTCATCGCTGTCACACCCGTTAAGTTAATTACAACCACTGTTGCAACAGAGAAGTCCACTCAGCTCTTCCTATTCCTTACTCTTATTAAAACACACTAAAAAACACAGCAAAAATGTGGTAAGTAGAAGATTTTTTGACATTAATTTAGGCCAGTGGCAGCTTCTCATGTTTATTTGTTCCTTTTAAGTCTGCTTAACATTGTCTGCGAGCCTAATGGGGCCGATCTCATTAGCTAAGAAGGAAATTGAAAGTAAACTGGTCTTTGTGTGAGGCTCTCATGGCCCATAAATCTCAGGCAGAAAATAACTGTCTTTCTTTATCAGGGGCCGATCTCTGGAGTGGCACAATAAAGTTGGTGGGCACCTGCTTTCATCCACCCTGGTGGCAATTAGGGACTCCTTTAAGTCCAAGACGAAAGACGCAAAGCTGTGAAAGGACACCGAGGAGTGATTCGTGCAACCTTGAACTGATTTGAGGCTCTTCAGAAGAACAAGAGGAAAATAAAATATGAGGAGTACACAGGATTTCAGAAGGTGTTTCACAGGCAGCACAGGACAATAACAGAGCCTTTGTAACGCATAGACGAGTCCGGTTGACGAAGAAGAGCAACCGTATGATGAGATGTTCCAGGACAGTCGGTCTGCTTGGCTTATCAAGAATGACAAGGAGGAGTGTCAGAGTAATGAAATGTCTTATCCCATTTGAAGGACCTTTTGACAAACTAACAGACTGCAAAGGTTGTCTCCGACACCCGCAGTTTTTAAAAGCATTAAAAGGACGACTGGGTGACGATGTGAAAATCTACTTCTTTGGGGAGTCACTGTGGAGACACCACAGGTGCTTTACCTCCAGTAGCGGCTCGTGATCATAGATTTTGGTAAGGCAGGACGACGTTAATAACGACAAAACAAAATAAAGTTGAGAGGCTATTTAGTGAATTTTTAGAGTAATATGTATTCAAGAATCGACAACATACCGTCCTCCAGTGTACAGTCCAGCAGTTTGTTTTGAGCGGTTTTAGATCTATCTTTGTTCTTTGTTCAACTGTCTTCCTTACAGAAGGTGTGTTTCCCGAAGAGCTAATATCATTAGCCAGGGTTGCCAGGTTTCAGCAAAATTTCCAGCTACATCTCAAAAACCTCACAAAAGACCTGAAACTAGCCCAAACAAATTTGGGCATTGGAAAAGGGAGACACATTTTTCTCAGCCTTTTGTGTGGAAAACAAGGCCACCGTAGTGCGCACGCATTTCTGATGTACGGATATTATCCACTCCGTAATCCCCCTTTCCCTCTCTCAGCCATACAACAGAAATGATTCTGTACATCATAGATGCACTGTCTGCAAAACACTTTCCTTTGTTTGCGAAGACTTTAGTAGAATTAATTCCGAATATTTGCTGTAAAACAAGATCTTGGTGGCTGCGGCGTGTTTTTTTTTACTAGCTCAATTTGGCGTAAAAAAACTGCAATCCTGGCAAATCTGTTACTAACTGTCCTGTCCGCTGCTCCTCCGCTATTAAAAATGTTCATAAAGCAAGCATGAGGCAGCGTGATTCCTGCCCCAATGAGCCTCTATTTATTAGTGTGTGTTGCAGTTCCCATTTTGACCACTAGGTGCAATAATAACTCTACGGAGCTGAATGGGGCACTGCACCACGATTGCACAACATCTAGAAAGGCGAGCGAATCAATAGAACATCTGTCAAATAACTGCTTTTTAAACTCATTGGTCGTCCAAAAGAGGTAATTAGCATTTCAGTGGAATTTAAAATGTATTGTTTTGTGTGAATGAGGACTTTATGAAGATTAACAGTTGTTGAATAATATATATGGTGGGACTCTGCATTACCTGCCTCTATAGACGAGCCGCCACTCGTTACGTCAAAGTGTAACAGTTGTACAATAAGGAAATTCGTTTGTACATGAGCAACTATGACCCTGATTCATGTTGGAAACTGTAACTAACATTCGCATATTTATTCCAAAGTGTTCAAAAGCATTTCTGACAACGCTTAGCTCCTCCATCGGAGAGGGCATGAATGTGATCTGGCTTATTATAGTGGAGTTTAATGATGTTCACTAAATGCCAGGCTTCTAATAACGTTGCAATCTGAATATGTATTGGTACATATTTAAAGATGTGTGATTTATTTTATTGAACTTATAAATTGTTTTATGATGACTTAATTTAATATAACAATGTATTAAATGTTACAGAAGAGATTATTTAAACGTATCTAAACCATTAAAGATGGCTTGGACTTGCTGAGCGGTTTTATTAATCTTTCTTCACTATGCAGTTTGCTACCTTTTAAGCTAATCAGCTCTAAGCAGTGCATTCATTGTTAAAAATATATTTCTTTCATTTTCATGGATTTGAATGAAACCTTTATCAGATGGTTTATATGCATGGATTAAAATGTCGCATAAAGATTGTATTTTCATACAGAGAACTGTGTAGTATGTATTATCAAAATGCACACACATTATCAAAAGTTCATTTTGTGTTTCAAATCAGAATAACTATTATAGGAATTTTTTTATAATTTGATGTGTAATAAATTTTATCTGTGAAAATTTCTGTGAAAGAAGCAAGGACATAACGCCTCCTTTTCTCACAACACAGACATGATTAATATAAAACATCGTAACTGAAGCTATAATTTTCTTTCACTGGAGTGTAAATACAAAAAAAACGTTCTAATTAGCATTAATATTAGAAGTATTTTGTTAGATTTGACACTTTGTTGTAGGGCAAAGTTAAATTTAATCTTTTTTTTTTCATTTTTTTTTTTTTGGAAAAAAAGCCGTTTTTGACCGTTTGATGAAAATTTTGGTGAAAAACTTCAAAATTTTCATAGGCATCCTTAATTAATATAAATAACTGATGTTAACTATATACATGTCTAATGTTAGCTAAGTCGAAAGTACATTGATAGATTTTATTTCACATTTATCAACTCAAAACTTTATTCCATTCAAGAGTGCTGCGTCAGTGTATCTTTCAAGTGGGAAAATTGGGACGAGACGAGATTACTATAATGTTAGCTAAGTCAAACTATAATGTTAGCTAAGTCGAACATACATTGATAGATTTTATTTCACATTTATCAACTCAAAACATTCTCCATTTACTCCATTCGAGAGTGCTGCATCAGTGTATCTTTCAAGTGGGAAAATCGGGACAAGACAAGAGCTTGCTAAGGTGAGACGGGG